CTATTGCTCAATGGGGCGGGGGGGGGGCCAATGAGGCGGGGTCGGTTGGGTTGGGTTGTTAAGTTTGGGTTGGTTTGGGTTGGTTTCGCTCACCTTTGCCCATTTTAGTGTACCTGCATAACCAAGATGACAGCCAATCTTCATAAACTCAAATTACCTGATTTTAAAAATTGTATTTTCCTCAATTCACGACGTTGTTTTTCATAATTCAAGCTTTTTCACTTCCACTTTCAAATTCTACGTCTATTAGATACGTGTTTTTGGCTCGCTGCATGTTCTTTTTCACAGAAAATCACGGTAAGTCACTTCAATTATCAGCCCCTTTTTTTATTAAATACGCGATAATTATACAACTTTTTCACCCTGCGCCGATTGTTTATGCACTTTTACATCCCTCCACACCTATTTTTGGCATTTTGGCAACTTTTCTGCCGTTTTTCGGTAAAGTCGCTAAAGTGAAAATTTACCGTATCTTTTTTTTAAGATACTCCCAGCTCTGCGTAAGTTTTATGTTTTTAATTAAAAAAGAACTTCTGGGCCAAAAGTTCTGGCTTCAAAATCGCTTGGGAATCATAAAGCGGCTTAAAAGACTTACGGTGGATTTATGCAGCACACCTTGACCTTAAGTTATCATTCTCGCGGCGACCAGTTGCAGCACAGAACATAAGTTGCAGGCTGCAACTTGCAGCGGCTTGTAGGGTGTTCAAACGATGCAACCAAATTGACACCATTTTCTACTAGGATTACCAACTACTACCAACGCGAAAATTACGTTAAGTTAAGTTAAGAGCCTGTTTGGTTCGTTTTTACAGGTATGTAAATAAAAAACGCATAGATTATAAAGCTTAAACGCAAATCACAAGATAAAACTCATCATCGTCATTCCACAGCTGATAAATATTGAGTACCAACCAAAATATTTAGTAAAAATTCGTAAATTTATATAAAAGTTACATGGAAATAGAACATGTTCTATTTTAGGACAAGTTAGATCATCTGATTAGTTGCATCATGTAAACACCAAAAAATCGCCGCGAAAAGTTCACCGTCAGACATGGGCTTAAGGTGGGTAGGTATTTTATGCAGCAAAATTAGTGACTTATTAGGCGCGCGCATGGAGCCTATACTGTGTAGGCTCCATGGGCGTGCGCGTGAGTTAAACATATTTTATCTACGCCAGTGAGATAAGAACTTCTTATCCCACTCATTTTGAGTGAGATAAGAAGTTCATTAACGCACGCGTTTTTCTCTGCTTTTAACCAATCAAATAAAAAAGTCAAAATGTCAAAATAACCCTAAATTAAGTCTTAGACAAAAATAATTACCGTTTATTTTTTCATTTAGATGCGTAGATAAAAATTTGTACAATATACGTGTGATAACGCTTTATTAACGTACTTTTGCGATTGCCCAACTCGTGCTACGCACTCGTTGGGCAAATTTCGCATGCGTACGTTAATAAAGCTCTTATTCCACTTATATCGTAAATAACTATTAAATAAAATGAATAAAAACTATAAACTGCACGTCAAACAATAAACCAAAGAACACAAAAAATGAATCATCCAGCAGCAAGTTTCATTTTATTTTCGGGTATGTTGGCATAACCGACACGATTTATTTAAATTGCGCCGCAACCTGCGCAGGAGGAATAAAAATAAAAACTTTATCTTTAAAAAGATTAAAGTTGGCCATCTCTTAATGTTAAAGTTAATAAAAATATGTTGTATAAAAGCTTTTTAATGTTAATTTGTGCTGCATAAATCCACCATTAACACCCTGTTAAAAACCCACAACTTTGTTATTTTTCATCGTTCTAAGTTGGCAACAATACTGCCAACAAAACGGCAACAAAATTCGAAATAAACGTCAAACAAGAGCGATATTTTCATCAATAAATGTGCATTAATTAACAGATAGTTACAAGAAAAATGTTGTAAATCAATATAAAAGTAAGTAATACCACAAAGAATTAGTGATTATTATACTGCGCAAGCTTACGTAGCTTATGTTCTTTGCTACGTAGGTTAAGTGAGGTTATGTTGTATTTAAATTTCTTAATTTTTCGCATTTTCATTATTTTATTTATTTTATGTGTAGTTTTGTTAATAATATTAATATTCAGCATATTTTTAATGCCTGGCAATTTTGTTATCAATATTTTTATGTTTATTATTTGGTATTTTGTCTAGACAACATTAATATAACATTTACAGGGTAGTCCAGTTTATATCATCATAATTTTGAATAAACTATGGTCAAATTTTGTTTTCTCTTTGATATGCAGAGTATTAAAGTTATAATTTTGTTTAGGGTTTTCCTTAAAATCTTCTGTAATATAGGTATAAATTGGCTTATTTAAATTTAGTATGCATTTATAGGTATGTAAAGAAAATACAATATTTGAAATATTCTTTTTTTTGTTATAACTTGTGCCAATTTTAGTCATTTAGTCCTAAACTTTTAAGTTTATAAGTATACTCTTAACTTTTTTCTCGTATGTAGGTAGCTAGTTAAATTTAATACCTACCTAATAAAATTAAATTACTTGGTCCATTTCCCAACTTGTTATTTATTTCGTGGGTTTCGATATCTTGCTTCTTTTAAATTTTAATTTAACAAAAATATTTTTATTTATTATTATTAATTTTAGCATAGAATGGTTATAACCAATTAAATTCAATAAGGAAGTAAAATGTCTATTATAAAAACAAAAAAATGCAAATTATAAATTAATATTATTTTAATATTTAGAAGATTTAGAAAATTTTGGATGGTATTTTAAATTATGAATTTTTAAAATTTTTATGTAAGTAAATAAGTCAAAAGTACAGCTTAAAAGTCTTTGCTTTAAAAATGTCCATTTTTCGAAAATTTGCCACTGATCTACAACATACGTGAAATTTAGCTATTTCCCATAGGATTAGTGCGGGGTCCTTTACCTATTTAGTTTCCTAAAGAAAGTTTTTTCCACAAGTTTTGCTACGGGCCCTTAAAAACGGAAAGCGCCGAAGGCAAAAAAAAGTCTGAATGCCACTCCCAAATAAGTCTATTTTGATCAAACAAAAAACCTTTTTTAGGCTAAATTTTTTTTGCATTTATAGACCAGGGTCGATAATTTTTGAAACCAAAAAAAATAACAGTAGGATGAAACCCATTGGAAAAGGAGAAGAATATAATAAAAATGAAAGGAAAAATAAATTACGGGCGATCTGACTTCATCGGGAAGTGGGAGGGGGGGTTTTAAGGGTAAAAAATGGTTTATCTCGATTTCCGGCAAAACTACAAGTCCTATTGAAAAAATGGCAAAGTTGTAGGTAATAAAAGGATCTACAACTTTTGTAATTAAAATTTTTTTACATAACCTCAAAATTTATGTGAAAAATTCAAAAAACCAAGTTTTTGGTTTTTTATTTTTATCTTTTTCAAAAAAAAAAAAATTTTCCACGAAATTTGGTGAAAACTTACCTTTTAATGTCCCAAATACACTGTAATTTATTTGATTTGAAATATTTATTATTTCGCCTTATTTTGACTTAATATCTAAGCACCCTAATTTTCAATCGAAAATTCTCGCGTCAAAATATCAGCTTTTTTCAAAAAGTCGGCTTTTTGTTTTTTTTGTTTGTTGAAATCTCTACTTTCTGATGGTGTAAAAAATATATACATTACTATGGTAAATGTTCTCACAAAATGCAAAAAGTATTATAATGAATAACGAAAAAAACTCGAATTCGAAAATTTATTTTAATCATTATGTACAATTTCATCAAAGAAATGTGATTGTTGCAATTTTTTTTAGTTAAAAAGTTTATTTATTAAATTCTAATAACATTTATGTCAGAAAATCTCATAAAATATAAAAATACATGTAAATCATACTATTGAATTTAGATACTTCATTCTGATTACGTTATTCATTATAATATTTTTTGTATTTTCTGAGAACATTTACCATAGTAATGTATATTTTTTTACACCATCAGAAAGTAGAGAGTTCATCGAACAAAAAGCACACCGACTTTTTGAAAAAAGCTGTTATTTTGACACGAGAATTTTCGATTGAAAATTAGGGTGCTTTTTTGATATTAAGTCAAAATAAGGCGAAATAATAAATATTTCAAATCAAATAAATTACAGTGTATTTGGGACATAAAAAGGTAAGTTTTCACCAAATTTTGTGGAAAAAGATAAAAATAAAAAACCAAAAACTTGGTTTTTTGAATTTTTCACATAAATTTTGAGGTTATGTGAAAAAATTGTAAATACAAAAGTTGTAGATCTTTTTATTACCTACAACTTTGACATTTAACTTTTTTCCATAGGACTTGTAGTTTTGCCGGAAATCGAGATAAACCATTTTTTACCCTTAAAACCCCCCCCTCCTACTTCCCGAACTCAGATCGCCCGTAATTTATTTTTCCTTTAATTTTTATTATATTCCCCTCCTTTTCCAATTGGTTTCATCCTACTGTTATTTTTTTTCTCTTTTTACCATTTTTAAAGGCTTCTGCACTGGTCTATTACCAAATCCTTATAATTTAAAATATATTTTTTTAGGTTCAGATAAATTTTATAAATTGGTCTGGTTTTACAGGACATTTACCGTCCTCTGATAGAATAAAATAGTATTTTATTAGTATGAGGGTAATATTTTTTTGCTTACGCATGTCGGAACATCTTCGGGGTCCCTTAGCCGGGGGCTTCATATTATTGATACAGCGGTAGCTACGCCCCTGCTATAAAATTTTTGATTTCATAATATGATTTCAAGTAAAATTTTACTTATTTTTCGTAAAAGTTAATAAAGTAAATAATGCATGATATTGAAAAAACTCAAGATTCAACAATTTAATTAAAGGGGCTTGTGTAAATTAAAATAAATTTCCTTTATTTTTTGAAGAGCTATTGGCTGGTGAAATTCTGATATAAACATATACATACATAATATGTATATATATTATATTATATTCTATGATTTATTTCTTTGTTTCTTATAGTCGAACTAGAGTTGAAGCAATTGGACGACAGATTGTTAAAATTATTAGCATTTCAACGAATTCAGCAACTTTTAACACAAAATTCGAATTCAACGTCCTTTTTTTCTCAAAGTCTACAGAACAAGTTGAGGCAAATGCCTTTGCCCAGCGAACTTTTGACACCTGCTGATATTGACAGGTAAATATTGCATTTTTTCATGAAAAATAAAAACACTTGTATTATAATAATAATATTATGTGTTTATCCTTGTTAGTCACTTCAACCAATATTTCATGTAGCAGTTATACCGTTTTCACAGTTTTTTTTATACTTTTGACGGTTTTAATAGGGTTTTTACAAATTCTAATATTTTTAGAAAAAAACTATTTTTACAATTAATCAGATTTCACAATTTTTTTGTTTACAATTTTTATAGTTTTGACAATTTGTTATTATATTTTACAATTTTAACGGTTTTTTATGTTTTGTTATAGTTTAGGTTTTTACAAATATTAATGTTTTTAAGTAAAATTAACTCTTTTTACATTAATTATTATAACAGTTTTTCCAATTTTTGTTTACAACTTTTATGCATTTGACAATTATTTATTATACAGTGTGTACCAAAAATTTAGAAGAAAATTTAACAGTTCCTTATTAAAAATAATAGTTTTTCGTCATATACAGTTATGCTCTACGGGTTTTCGTTTCAAAGTTACAAGGTGCCAAAATTAAAAAAAAAATAATAACTTTTTAACACCAAAATATAAAGATACGAATTTAATATATTATTATTAAATTTTGGTAATGCCTTAAGTGAATTTAAAAAAAAATGTAGGTTACTCAGTGGAGTATTACGAATATTGCCGTAGGGTTTTCTTTGAAAAAATATGTTTTTGATTTGGGCCTCTTACGTGCGGATCCGCTAGTGGATTAAAAATATCGGTTTTTCAAGAATAACTTTTTCTGTAAAATCCATAGGGATAAAATTGGAATTATAAATTCTCTCACCTTTCAGCTATCGATTTGCCACAGTTTTCGATATTTTTTTGAAGTCTCATCCACTTCATCTCGCACTTTGGGGTGGAATGTATCACCCATTAAAATTGTTTATTATTCATTTTAACAGTTTGGAGAGGTGAATATTTTTTTGCGACACACTCGCCTTGCAAAACTGGAGCAAAGGTACGTGGGAGAACTTGACAAGAGATGATTTGCCGCGGCGCATCAGGGAATTACCTATGAATTATGAATTACCTAGAATTTTTTTCCTTATTGATAACGACTGATAAGGAAAAAATCAGAACACACTTCCACATAACGTTGAACGTTGGTCTCGCTAATTTTAAAGTGGTTTACCCCTCGGTAAGATCTGTATATAACGCCTTGCCCTAAGAGCATAACTTAATATAAAAAATTATTATTTTTTACTGCTTATTTTTCTCACAAAATTTCCGGTACAATTACAGTTTTATAATTTTTTATATTTTATTTAATTTTCCCCACTGTAAAATAAACTTTTTTTTAGGATATCTAGGGTTTTCAGCAGCCCAAAGAAGAAAAAAACGAAGAGTAATTTAAGGGCTCGCGCCATCTTGTGCCCGGTTGTTTCTAAACATTTTTACAATGTGCGTACTTCTGAGGTTGACCCGACAGATGTCAGGCACGACGCGAGTTTTATGGGTTTCAGACCTACGGTTTCTACGCGGTTTCCCGAAGCTGTTGCTATGCGATACAGGATATTAAATATAGGGAAAGGTAAGAAAATACATCGCTCATGCTTAATAAAAAAGACTTTTAAAAAATTCTGCAATAAACATGCAAAAGCATTTCAAAACCCGTCCAACTTTATCAAATAGCTTCGAGCCTTTAATTCAATTACATTGGGATACAGAGTGAAAATAAAATAACATTCTAGTACTTAGAACTTAAGATTGTAGTAATAAATTGCCATCACTTTTCTTGTGCATGAAGGTCATATAGTTTTTAAATATAAAAATAATAAAAATTAACCTAATTATAAGGCATTTGTTTGGCAAGACACTGAATTTGTTTAAACAAATGCTTTATATTTACGTTAATTTTAATATTGTTTTTATTCAAAATCAGTAGCACTAATGCTAGAGGTAGAGGAAAGCTTACTTTTTTTTTAACTACAGGGTGGGTCATAAAGGTTGCCGTTTTTAACACAACAAAATAACTAAAAATCTTACCAAAAATATTTCTAATTTAAATTAAAGTAAGCATTTTGGAATTGTTTTTAAATAACTCCATCTAGTTGCTAACACTCTTCAAATCTGTACTTTAAATTTGTGAAAACACGCCGGCACATTTCGCCTCAAATGTTTTGTTTTAATTGGTCTACCGTTTCTTGTTTATTGTTGTAAACCTGACTTTTTAAATATCCCCAAAGAAGTAGTTTTTAGGACACCTGGGATGTCATGGAATATCCCCTTTAGGCAAAATGAGTAATAAGTAAATTTGGTTTTAATTCCTGCACCAACTAAAGTTTGGGGTGCAGGGTTTTAAATACGCCTCAAACTCGTTCGTGACATTGATCTGTTGCGTACAGTGTACAGATATTTGTAAATTTTCTGAAAAAATAACTTTAATTTTCCTTTATTTGTTGCTCACTTCTAACTGACCTTGGGCGTCCCGTAGGATTTTAATTTGGGTAGAACCTATAGCCTCTAACTTTTTGATCCAACGCCTAAACGAATTTGGACTGGCCAGTTAGCCGGCCACCACCAGTAGTCGGCCACTAGCAACTTTATTAGCAATAGCGCCAGTTTTGAACAATCTTCCTATATGCACCTTTTATCTTGTCATTTGTATAGCTAAATGTCAATTTCGCTTAACCTACAAAACTCCTGTCATATATAATTTCTGCGCAAAATTCACTGTCGCGGCGACAATTCTTTTGGCGACAGTCGCCGATACGATTGTCCCACCTGCCGAAACTTTGATTGGAGCAGCATGCCAGAAAATTAAAACGTAAGTTATTTTTTCTACTCCTATTACGGAATTTGACCGTTCTAATATCACTTTTATCTATGGAATGACATATATTCGTAAAGTGTTACAAAATGAAATATTCTATCATCGGATGACGGAATAAACACTCGTGGCGACATCTCTGCTTTTAATATCTAACAAATTTTAGACCGATCCAACCTCACTTTCTTCCAATTAAATTATTTCTCTATGGTATTTTTTGGAAACAGAAAAAGTATAGTCTGAAACACGTTTGGAATTGCATATTCCGCACTCGTGAAACCGTCAAACTCGCCTTCGGCTTGTGTGACAAACTTTTCACTCGAGCGGAATATGCTGTATTCCAAACTTGTTACAGAATATACTATTCTATTAGTCAATAATTAAAGGGAATGTAGGAATATACATTGAAATAACTAATATTTGGTCTAAAAACCGTAATTTGGTAATTTTTAGGTTAAAAGTTTAATGGCCAATCACTACGAGCCCTAACCACATAATGTTCGGACACTTCATAATTTATACAGAAATTTTTTTCGTGAATACTATCTCAAAATTATTAGAAGTTATGAAAAATTCAGCTTATTTTGGTATATATACCCCTCGAAGCGATTTTTATTTTTAAAAAGTTTACCTTTTATTTTTAGCTTTTAAAAAAAGGCTAACTTTTTAACTTTTTTTTGTATGAGTAAAAAAAGTTATAAATGGACCCATTAAAAAGAGCATAAAATATTATACAAACCCTGAAAATTTGGTAAAAAATAAATAAGTTATAAAAAAGTATAAGTAATTTAAAAATGCTATTTTTAAAGAGTTTTTGCAATTTTCTTAGGAAACGGGAGATTTTGCAGATATATATATCGCTATAACTTTCTTATTATTTATACAATTTTTACCAAATTTTCAGGGTTTGTATAATATTTTATGTTCTTTTTAATGGGCCCATTTATAACTTTTTTTACTCATGCAAAAAAAAGTTAAAAAGTTAGCCTTTTTTTAAAAGCTAAAAATAAAAGGTAAACTTTTTAAAAATAAAAATCGCTTCGAGGGGTATATGCCAAAATAAGCTGAATTTTTCATAACTTCTAATAATTTTGAGATAGTATTCACGAAAAAAATTTCTGTATAAATTATGAAGTGTCCGAACATTATGTGGTTAGGGCTCGTAGCATGTGAATTTAACTAGTGGTCCGCCTATCAGGCCAACTACTGGTGCATTGATAAAAATGTTTGCTTGTCTTTTTCTTAATTATACAATTTTGTATATTTTTTCTTTGAAAACACTTATGTTCTATAAATATCAATATAAGCAGATTTTCTGTGTCAAAAGTCGGCCGGAGGTAGAAGTGAAAATGAAAATGTTACGAAAGTTTTAAATTGATGGCCGACTATTGAAGTAGGCACCGAATGCTAATTTTGTTAGTAGTCGGCCGTATTATTTTGAACCTCTTTTAGAACCATTTTTTGACTTAATATTTGAAATTATCCACTTTCAGTCAAATTTTAAAAATAAATCAATATAGCGACGAAATTTTAACAAGGCCATCGAAGTATGTACAATTGGACCACAATATGGGAATCTTGTCGAACATACAGCATTCCCAGGGCAACACTACAGGACCGCATCAAGGGGCGAATTGCTAATAAGCCAAGGTAAATAGGCCCAGACCTATATTTGAGCGCCGAAAATAAGAAAAAATTGGTCAAATGGATAATCAATTTAGCGAAATGTGGATTTCCCGTTAAAAAGCGTTAAAATAATTTCTACGATACAAAAGATTGTCTTGGATTAGAAAATAAAAACTCCATTTAAAGACGGGCAAAAAATGGTATTTATAATTCCTTCATAGACATCCATAAATTTTCACCCGAACTTCTGTGTCAATAGACAAGTCTCGTGCAAAATTAACGGAAGAATATATCAAATCGTGGTTCAGAGAGCTTGAAACTTTTCTAGAAAGTATTGGTTTCAGTGATGTGCTAATAAACTCGTCAAGAATCTTTAATGCGAATGAAAGCGGCTTCAGTATGTGCCCTAAAAAAGTGTTGGGCCCCAGGACTAACAACAATTTTTTGAAGTGAAGAAAGGAAGTAAAAAGGATAATATTACAGTCCTTGTAACATTATCTGCGGATGGACGATTGTGCCCACCATGTGTTGTTTATCCTTACGTAAAACCGCCACGAGCAATCGCTGAGAGTATGCTGATTTTTTTTGTGGCCAACTGGTATTAACTATGAAAAAGTGCTTCTGTTAGTCTTAGACGCTGCACCTTACATGGTTAAGGCCGGCGCAGGGTTAAAATTAATGTACAGCTTAGTGCATGGTGTACTAAGAAGTTTATATCCTACAGTAAATACCATCATTTCAAACGTGAAAAAAGTTTTTTGTGAAAGCACCTAGTCGCGTCGCTCATTTTAAAGAGATGGAACCTGATTTGCAATTGCCTCCACAACCAATTCTCACTAGATGGGGAACTTGGCTAAATGCTGCCTGCTATTATGCAGACAATTTTAAAAAGATCCGGCAAATACTCTAAAGTCTAGATGAGGACGATCAATAGTCGATGCTAAGAAAGCAATGTCTACAAGAGGAGTGAAAGATGGCCTAGTATAAATAAAATGCCATTTTCAGTGTTTAATTCAGACAATTGCAACATTAGAAACAAACGAGCAGCCGCTGTCAGTTTCTTTAAATATTATTAATACTGTATATCATAGAGAAGGCACCTGGCAAAGCAGCAAAAGGAGTTTTAAAAAAGATGAAAAATGTTTTAGAGAAAAATCCTGGGTATGAGAAATTAGTTAAAATAAATAAACTTTTAAATGGTGAAGGACCCAAGAAATTAGAAGACTTCAATATTAAGGATATAGTTGCGTTTAAGTATGCTCCTGTGACATCTTGCGACGTCGAGCGAAGCTTTTCAATTTATAAGAATATTTTAGCTGACAATAGAAAGCGTTTTAATTTTGAAAATATAAGAATGCAACTTGTTATACATTGTAATGCTAAATATTATGAATAAATTATTATTTAAAATAATATAACATACTCTTTTTATTGACTGACTTATGCTAGATATGTATATATTTTTACATCAATAAATTCTATCCTATTATTATAACCGCATATTTTTTTTTAAATTTAAGCGCATATTTCGGGGAAATATACCTATAGCATATTTTTGACTTTTTAAGAGCATAAAAATCCGAACCCTAATGATTATAATCGTTTGTGCGCATTGTACACTTCCCCACCTTTATCCCGGTGCCAAGCGACGCGTTTCCTATCTATTCTTATGCGGAGTTAAAGCTCCTGACTATTATCTTATAAGAAACAATATAAATTATTAATTTGTTGTTATAATGCCAAAATTAGGGTTTAAAACTGTCATATTTTAAAATGACAATTTTAAAGTGGTTAAAAATAGTTTTTTGAGATTTTCATAAAAATTATACTGTAATTAATTTTTAAGTGATCAATATGATCCTCTTTGAATTTATGGAAAATAACAGTTGTGAAGAAGTGTTATTTCCCACAGATTTCCTATAGATTATATAGAAAATTCGATTCCAAACTTAAGAAACAAAATAGGATTATGTTGATAGGAGGATTATTTAGCTTATTTTTTATGCTCGTGAGATACAAAATAAAAAATGGCGTATGAATACAAATATAACTTTAAAAGTTATTTTCTTGGAATCTGTGCTGTAAAAAAAATCTGAAATTAGTTGTGAATGTGTCTGATGCCTCACAAAATCATATGAAGGGGTGTTCTTATAACGTGAAAATTGTACGAGTTGTACATTTGGATTAATGCAAAGAACAATATTGATACAAGTATCCAGATTTTTGTACATAGCAAAATTTTTAACTTTTAAAATTTTTGCTATATATATATATTTATATATACATATATATATTAGGGTGGTCCTTAATAAGGTTATTTTCAAATTTCTTTGCTCCCAGGGGCTTAAATTAGAGATTTAAAGGTTCGGAAAAAAACAGGAAAAATTGGAAAAAAACAGTGTTTTTTTCCGTTTTTTTCCCGAGCCTTGGAAAAATTGAAAAACGGAAAAATTGAAAAAATATTTAAAAAAAAATCGAAAATATAAAAAGTATTTTGATTTGATATAATTTATGTATTAATGAGTGGAAATTAAATAAATATATTTTTGCAGTAGTACAGAAGTCTGTGCTTTGAGCAAAAAGCATACCATTGTGTATTGTGGGTACAATAAAAAAAGTATATTTAATACAAGATAAATGTTTTTATGCTTACCGTAACGCTGTAAACGAACGACGATCGGTCTGACGTGTCGGTTCCTAATCAGCTGATCGGGCAGGGTTGCCATTGTGATGTTAAAATTATTGAATATGCTACTAACTCCTGGGTATTGGTATTTTGAATAGTTACCTATACAACAATGATTTTAATGTGAATTACGGCCGTCGGCAACTAGGCAACTAGGATTGTTTCATCGTTAAAAAGCATGACCCTACAGGTGCCTCCCCCGGGGGGCGCCTATACATAACGGGAATTTTTTAATCAAAATAATTTATAAATATTATAAAAAATATTTAAAATATTTTTAAACATTTTTTTTAGTTTTTAAGAAAATATCAATTTTTCCCAAAATTTCCGTTTTTTTCCCAATTTTTCCAGGAAAAAAACAGGGTTTTTTCCGACACTCAATTTTTCCGGAAATTTTGAATCTCTAGCTTAAATGCTTCCAAATTAATAAAAAAAAAATCCCTGAAAATTTGAGCTCTTAATATTAACTCTTAGATAGTGCGCATTCCAATCTAAGTTTCCTATGGAAATAACATAGGAAAAATTACTTTTGTTGTTTATAATTTTATAACTTGGGAACGAATAAATTAAAAATTATAAATCATACATATTTTTATAGAGAATTTAACGCTCTACAAAAAATTATGAAAAAATAATTTTATAAAAAAATTATTTAGTAAAGAATATAATTAATTATTTATAAAACAAAATAAGTTTATTTAGCACTTTTAATTTTGACACAAACGGCGCCTCAAAAAAGCCTTGATAATATTAATATAATATGAAAATTAAACTTTGGCGTTGAATAACTTTTAAACCAATAGACTAATGGAAAAATTATAAGAGACCTTTTTATATATACAGGGTGTTTCATAATATATGCGCAGGACTTCAGGATGTGATAGCTCATCCAAAAAGATGAAAAAAGTCGCTATTAACTTACCCTCTAAAATGCACAATTTTCGAGATACAGGGTGTTGAAATTTTAGAAAAATAATCGTTTTTTTAGATTATCTCTGGAACCGTTTATCGTACAAAAAACAGCTTTTGTAAGCATTTTATACTTATAATAAGCTATGTTTTGTGCCAGAAAAAATTTTTTTTTACTCATAATTGGTGGAGATTTTGAAGGGGTAGCGGGTGTTTTTCTCCTCAACTTCAACGCCCCTGAAAAAAGTACGGTTTTGAGAGGCCCATTCGAACCGCCAATGTTTTCTGCAGAAAAAAGGTACTCTTGGTCATAAGCTCTAAAGTTGACCGTTTTCAAGAAAAATCAACTTTTATGTTTAAAAACATGGTCAATTTTTTGAAAAAAAATTTTTATTACTAATTAAACAAAATTTATTTTAACGTTAGAAAAAGTAACAAAACCAAACGATAATTGCAAAATTAAAAAAAAAATAAAAAATGATTTTTTACTCAAATGCTGAAATGTGCGAAATGCGTTACCTTTACGGTTTGGAGAATTAAGCAAAGACAACTTTTAAATCATTTTTTATTTTGCAATTATGGTTTGGTTTTGTTACTTGTCCTAACGTTAAAATAAATTTTGTTTAATTAGTAAAAAAAAATTATTTTTTTTTTAAATTGATAATGTTTTTAAACATAAAAGTTGATTTTTCTCGAAAACGGTCAACTTTAGAGCTTATGACCAGGAGTACCTTTTTTGTGTAGAAAACATTGGCGGTTCGAATGGGCCTCTCAAAACCGTACTTTTTTTAGGGGCGTAGAAGTTGAGGAGAAAAACAACCGCTACCCCTTCAAAATCTCCACCAATTATGAGGAAAAAAAATTTTTTTCTAGCACAAAACATAGCTTATTTTGAGTAGAAAATGCTTACATAAGTTGTTTTTTGTACGATAAACGGTTCCGGAGATATTCGAAAAAAACGAATTTTTTTCTAAAATTTCAACACCCTGTATCTCGAAAATTGTGCATTTTAGAGCTTAACTTAATAGCGACTTTTTTCATCTTTTTGGAAAAGCTATCACATCCTGAAGTCCTGCGCATATATTATGAAACACCCTGTATATATATATATATATATATATTATTATATATAATATATTCAAAAATCTGGTTACTAGTTATTAGACTCTCTTTTTTGCACTTGTACCCTTTTGCTTCTTACCCCTTCATATATTAAAGTTTAAAGACTATCTATGGAAACTCTTTAAATGGAGATACTACCTTAAAAGCAAACTCTGAATTCGAATTCAAAATACAAACGGCGGATTTAAAAGGAATATTATTGCACTGTTTCGTACAGGAGAACCTAAACTATCTACTGGTAGTGATAAATTATTTTGTTTTGGCTCTTGGCAGGTTTCGCATCTATTATTTACACATTGGTAAAGTTTATTTTGGTTAATATTGATGATTTTTTGTAGGTTCAGCAAATGACGTGGATTTAGAAAGATTTGGACATTGTAATTTTATATCACCGAAACATGCTGTTATATTTTATGATGAGGTAAGGTTTTATTTATTTATGATTTAATGAATCTTTCTTTGAAGTTTTATTGGAAAAATTAGTTTTAGAGTCCAAAAAATATTTTTCGTAACTTTTTTACAAAATATGATTATTTATCTTGTATATTTTTTAAATTTTACTTAATTTCTTGTAGTTATGCCATATTTTTTTAATTTTTAATCTTAGGTGGAACCTAGACCAATGATCATATAGTTTTTTGTATTTTTGACATTTCTTGTACAAAGGTTGCTTACAGTCGTAATTAAACACAGTAAAATAAGGTTATACATATTTAAATAGGGTTGCCAACCCTCTTGTTTTTACAGGACATGTCCTGTTGTTCAGAGTGTCCTGAGTAGTTTTAAGCAGCGTCCTGGTAAAGTCCTGTGCTTTAAAATTCGCCCGCCACTCTGCTTCCAACCTTACGTTTTATTGGTTCTAATATAATTTAATTGAAAATAAATTTATAAAAAATTGTAATTGCCATTGGTTGACTTTTACCATAGAAACAGGCATCGACGACAGCCTGTTTCGCTCTTATTAGACCTCATCAGTGCCGGATAGCCGTGGTGTATAAGCAAACTTTAAACAGACTATCCGGCACTGATGAGGTGCAATAAGACCGAAACAGGCTGTCTGTCGGTGCCTGTTTGTGAAGCACCTTGAGTAGAAAACCATTTTTGACACTTTTAAGAGGCCTATTCCCTTTCGCTAAACATGCATGTTCATGAAATACATATTCCCTTTCATTTCGTCAATAGACGCATGCGCTCGAAGAATTTCTTAAACATCCATGTTTATAAACATCGGTGTCTAAATGGCTATTCCGTTTTCAAAATTCGCTGTTTGGTGAACATACATGATGTTTGAAAACGTACGTTTACGAACGCTTGCCTGAGAGGTGCTGTTAGCTAATATTTGAGGGTTTTTTTCTTGCATTAATCATAAATTGCGGCGATAATTAATACCTAAAATGATAAATAATTATAATAAGTATACTTATAAATGAGAATAGGACAAATCACATAAGGTTTCACACCAAACAAATAAAAATATATTTTTTGGTAATTTTAAAAATATTTTTATGATTTGTTTTTGTCATTATTAAAATGTATTTCTTAATTATAATACCATAATAAAAATTTTGCTTTACTGAATTTATATTAATTTTATTATAAAAATCTGAGTGTGAAGTGAGAATTTGGGGGGAGGGAGGTCAAGACTTTGACAATATATGTTATAAGGGGGGCAGAGTGTCTAAAAACGACCTCTAAAAACTATATACATATATTGGTAGAATAAAAATAACTTAAAAAAAAGTATATTTTATTAAAAAAATACAACAAATATCAAATACCTATGTAATAAAAAAAACAGGATAACCAAAGGGCTATCGACCTAGGTCCTTCTGCCCACCTATGTAATATTATTACTCAAAAATATAGACAAAAAATGACCTGACCTTATAGGCTGGTCAATGAAGAGTTCCGATGGTAATCCCTCCACAAGTATTTTTAGAATTTGTGGATTTTCCTAAGTTGTTTTTAAGTTCATTTAATACAGGGTGTTCCAACGAAAACTTGTACCCCCCCCAAACGTTTTATCGGATGAGTGTGGACAAAATTCCTTGGACACGTCAATTTTTATTTTTAGGGGGGCGAATTTTGACGTATGTTTCACGCCCCCACCCGCACCCCTAAACGCTCCACCCCGCCCGCCTCCTAAATTTTAAATTGTAAGGGGGTTTGAGTGATATATCATTTTAAAGGTCTTGTAATTCTTAATAAGGTTCTGTAATTTTTTTAAAATCTGTTAGTTAGTTTTGGTGAAATTGCTATTTGAAGTTTTAAATTTGATGAATAAAAAAAACAACAAAATTGTACATTAAAGAATTTAATGTTCAAAGTACATGCATGCATGACATTTTTTTATGAGGTTGCCATGGTAACGCGCGCACGCGCCACACGGATTTATTTAAATGCAGTTATCAAGAATAATTAGTAAATGCCTATTGCTCTGTTCAATAAGTCGTTATCAGTTTAGCTTTCTGAACCTTTTTAGTTTAACATTGTAAACCTTACAACGTATTCTCAAAATGGTATACTCCATTGAAGAAAGATCGGAAATTATTGCAACCTATTATCGAAATAATGATTTTGCAAACGCCTCGGCACGAATTTTTAATAATAATCATCCCGAAAAAAACGCAAGTTACCAATACGTTCAACAATTAGTAGCTAAGTTTCAAACTACGGGTTCCATCCACAACAAAAAACGTGAGGCAAACCGTCCAGTAAGAAATGAAGCTATAGAAGTTGCTGTGTCGGGTCATGTACAAATGGATAATACACAGTCCTATCAGGAAATTATCTCAAGCCTCTGGCGTATCCGCCACCAGTGTGTTTCGCATCATGAAAATGAACAAATTTCATCCTTTCAAAATTCGGCTGGTTCAAGAAATTAATGAAGATGACCCTGATCGCAGGTTACAGTTTTGCGAATATTTCAGTGAGCAGTTGATTATTAATCCTAATCTTTTGTATAATACATGTTTTTCGGATGAGTGCACTTTTATGTTAAATGGACAAGTGAATAGACATAATTGTCGCTATTGGAGCGATACTAATCCACATTTGCTCCATGAAACCCACACCCAAGTTCCCCAACAGTTAAATGTTTGGGCCGGAATTTTAGGGGACAATCTTGTTGGTCCATTTTTCATAGACGGCAACCTCAATGGAGACATTTATCTAGAAATGTTGGAAGATCTTATTGATCCAATGATTACCGAAATTCTAGAAAATGATAATAATTTATTTGAAGATCAAATTACATTTCAACAGGACTTCGCACCTCCGCATTATACTCTTGAGGTACGACAATTTTTGGACGGACATTTTCCAGGACGTTGGATTGGAAGAAGGGGTCCTATAGAGTGGCCGCGAGATCTTCTGATCGAACACCGTTAGATTTTTTTTGTGGGGACATTTAAAATCAAAAGTTTATGCCACTTCACCAGAGACTCTTCAGGAATTGAGGGAAAGAATTATTAGAGAATGCCGGTTATTAACGCCAGACGTATTTCAAAATGTTAGAAATAATTTTAATCAACGTCTGTACTATTGCATGGAGGTTGGAGGAAATCACTTTGAACAATAAATTCGTTGATTTACAGTTTTTTGTTTTATTTTTTTTTACCAAATTTAAAACTTCAAATAGCAATTTGTCCAAAACTAACCAACAGATTTTAAAAAAATTACAGAACCTTATTAAGAATTAAAAGACCTTTAAAATGATATATCACTCAACTCCCCTTACAATTTAAAATTTAGGGGGCGGGCGGGGTGTAGCGTGTTAGGGGTGCGGGTGGGGGCGTGAAACATACATCAAAATTCGTCCCCCTAAAAATAAAAATTGACGTGTCCAAGGAATTTTGTCCACACTCATCCGATAAAACCTTTGGGAGGGGGTACAAGTTTTCGTTGGAACACCCTGTATATTAATGATTTTTAAAATAATTATCTAACACAACTTTAGTTTACGATCTGCGACTTTTAGGTTATAACATAAGAAAAGAATATGAAACTAAGATACTCTCCGACCTAGAAACATTTATCGCTGTTCAGAAAGATTCTAGGTCAAGACTTTCAACATATGAGAAACGGACTAGCCTTAAACATAGGTGATGTTAAGAAATGTTTATAAACAGCAAGAAAGGGAATAGGCATCTAACTGCTCTTATACTACGTCCTATTTTTAAACTGAAATGTCCTGGTATTTCCACCTTTGAATCCTAGTTTTCAAAATTTGGGGGTGGCAACCCTACACTAAAAAGTTTGATAATAAGAGAGATATTTTTTTACACCAATTGTAATCGCCCTGTAGTTAATCGCAGTCTCGTAAAATGTAAACCTAAAATCAACCTACCATCTGTCAAGCTATTTTATCAGTTGTCAATGGTTTGTTATAAATTGTTGTAATTGTTAAAACCTAAAAAAAATGTCTTATGATAACTAACAACGAATACATTGACATGCTGTTAATTTTTTTAGCGTCAATAACCTTCTTTTACTGTGTTTAGAAATAAAATCACAAAACCGTAATTTCCTAATTTATTAAGTTAAGTTTGGGTTGGCTCCATCTTTTTCTCTTTAGTCTAAGGTGGTACCTTAGAACAAAAAGAGCATATTTTTTTAAGAAGAGGATTTTTTTTTCAGTGCACCAAACACTACGAACTACTAAACTACTCCACCCACGGTACGCATGTAAACAACGTGCAATATTCAAACGATGTTGCCGTTGAACGTCACCGCCCCCCGACAAGCGCCGATGCCAAATTGGCCTCGGTCGAATTGGCAGTTCGCGATATAATCGACAAAAAACGCAAAATCGCCTCTGCCCGTAAAACCCTCTCGTCGAACAATAACCTGGCAACGGTGGCCGCCGCCGCGGCGGCAGCGGCAACACCGCTCACCGCCGACTCGGCCCCCAAGATGGCGGCCAACGACGGCATCGAAAAAATCGACTGTCTGTGCGCAGGCAACGTTGCCAATGTTGCTAACGCGTCGGATCAGAACGATCTAAAAACTGGATGGGAAGGTTCCGCCATCTTGAATCATGGGTCCTTACTGAGGTTCGGGTGTATTTCTTTTGTTTTTTCCATCGTCGAATGTTCCTCCTTTTAGATAGATTTTTTACAATAAAAGATTTGAAGAACTTACGAAAACTGTCAAATTTTTACGACGTTGCATTATTTACGTGGTAAAGATATTACGGAAAAAAGATTAAAGATTTCACAGGTTAAAAATGTCAAAATCGTTTCCGTGTTGCTACATTTCTAGTTGTGTTTTTTTATAATTAGACAGTTTTTGTATTGTTTTCAAAAAATTAATAAAAAGCTGTGTAAATTTATTGAGCCCTCTAGAAACTGACTAAAAATAGGTAAAAAACGTACAAAAAGCAATAAAACTATTGGTTTTGCAGACAAAAAACAGTACAAATTTTTAAAATTCCACCATTTTTTAAGTATATTTTCGCGTTTCTGTGATGTTTAAAACGAAAAAATATAAAAAATTCCCAAATTTTGTGATACCGCATTCATTTTTAAGTTAGTTTAGCAGTTTTTAGAAGGTACTACTGTAAATAAGTAATTTTTAGGTTAGGTTGAAATTCTGTACGATTTTTTTTGTAATTTATTAATTTTATTTAATTAAGATTTATTTCAACATTTTTTAATTTTTAAGGTCGTCAAATACGTTATAATGCTGAAATTGCATGCAGTATTGTTATTTTCTAAGTGGATATATTTATTTTTGTTTATAAATAAACGAAAAAACTCGATTACTTATCTTTTTACCTTGGGTCCTAAAGTCAACGTGACAACCGCGGTTTTCATGAATCATGAAAATAAACCTAATTTGTTTGGCACCACACTGGATTTGCTTAAACCATCAACTAAAACGTGTAAGCGGTTGGGGTCGACGGACTAAGTTACTCTATAGAGTAACTCTATTAGAGTTGTCCCAGGGCTGGATACGATGACTAACTTCTAGCCGGTGCCCCAACATTGATCCCTACTGGACAAAGAATTTATTATATATTATACAATGCATCATTATCATTTAAAATTGGCGGCACAACAATAATATAATAATAAATTGTACCTTTATACATGTTAAGGGCACGTTAGTTACGTAATAAAACCAAACCAACCCAAACTCAACAACACAACCCAACCGACCCCGCCACCATTGCCCCCCCCCGCCCCATTGAGCAAAAAACCCAACTAAAATGGGCAAATTTATGTTACGATAAAAATAAAACACTTTTTAACAAAGGAACAACAAATTTATGAAATAAAAAAGTAAAAAAATTTGACAACTTCTGAGTATCGAACCCTGGACCTCTCGCATGCAAAGCAAACGCCCTACCATCTAAGCTATTTAGCTTGACAACAAATATTGTATGTTCGGGGAACAAAACCGGATTATTATTATGACGTCACGTTATAAGGCGGTTCGTGCCAGCTCGTGAGAAGTCGGGATCGATGTTGGGTCACCGACTAGAAGTTTCTGATACGATGTACTAGTTTTGGTTCGTGCCGCGCATGACGTAGTAGTAGTTGCCGTGCGAATACACGAATATTAAGTTTTTCGTGAATCGATAAAATTTAATGTTTTTATTTAAAGGTTTTTCTTGGACTGGTTGTCCTAATTGCATCCAAATATGCCACACCGCATTTTAATAAATGCAAATGGCACGACACAAACAAAACAAGTTAACGCAACACAAAAATAAACAAACAACAGCTTAACACAACGCATTAACAATAATTTGAACACTGAAAAGTAATTCGAACCTTACCGAACGCAAAAACAACAAGTTAAACAAAAAAGTAGAGCAAGTTAACATCCAACACCATCGCAAAAACAAGAATTTTAGCAGCAGATAATTAAAACGTGGCGCCCAACATGCGCACCATCCTATCTTAAGGTGTACCTATGTATCTTGGAGCGCGTTCGAAAACAAAAGTGCACTCTGGATACACTCCAAGTTTACCTTGCGCGTTCGTATTCTTTGGTATATACCTATATATATGCAACTGTCAACTGTTCAAAAACAGCAAGTATATGCCCAGAGTGCACTCTCGGTTGTCCAAGCTTTAGACTTGGTTAAGTTTTACCCGTCATGCGCATAGGGTACATCAAACAATAATTTGTATTTACCTTCTTATAATTTATTTATGTCTGTTTAAAATTCAATAAAACAAAAACAAAAAACATTAAAATAAAATAATTTATTAAAAATAAATTATTTAAAAAATATCAATTCTAAAAAACAAAATCTATCACAAAAACTTGAATAAACCATATAGCCTATAGGTACAGTTGTATTCAATAAAAAAGCGTACAAGAATTAGAATGAGAGAAAACTGTCAAAATAATATTATTGCTTAAAACCGGCTTATCACTGACATAAGTCATTAAAATAATTACTATAGGTTATAAAGAGCATTGACGTCGTAGGTTAATTAAATAATATTACAAAAATTATTACCTTTTAGAAATGAAAAAAAACAAACATTAAAAAAATTTAATATTTAGTCATGCATCCCTGTTTTTCTATTACTTGAGCCAATCTATTTGGGATGAACTGAATTAAATTTAATACAATATTTGGATTTATATCTTCCCAGCAGTATAGTAGGTATAGTATAGTTGTATAGTTTCCCATAAATCCTAAGATATACCAAAAAAGCAGCATCCTGTGGACATTTTGGGACGACCTGAACCAACTTTTTGGTTTAGTAAATCTTCCTGTTCCCAGCGTTGCTTAATTTTTAATATAGATTTTTTATTTCTATTATACCACAGTACGAATTGACCATTCTTCTTCGATTCTTGATACTATTTGAGCCTTTTTAACTGACGAGACATTTTTATTTTCTACTGTCAGTTATAGTGACTTAAGTCAGTGGAAAGCCGGTTTTACGCAATAATGTTGACAGTTTTCTCTCATTCTAATTCTTGTACGCTTTTTTAATGAATACAACTGTACCATATGTAACTAAAGGGTTGAAATTCAATAACTTAATATTTATATGTATTCAGTCAAATAAAAAGCAAAACCAATTAATTTTAGAACACTACAACATAAAGTTTATAGGTATATATACCTAGAAGCATATATGCTTCGCGGCATTCGAAAATAACAAGGAGGTCAGGTATAATATAAAGTCACGTGATTATAAACCTATCCTTCAGTGGCGGCTCATGACCATTCATGAAGGTGAGGCCCATGAACCGCTATATGGCACCGTAGGCAATTTTTTTTTTAATTTTTAAAGTCTCGCGTTTTTGGAGCACTTCAGAATCTAAATAATAAAAATATATTATTTAAAAATATGTTCTTTCACTAGAAGAATTTTCAAAATTTAGCTAGAATAATACAAAAAGTGCGGGACGAGGTGGGATTTTTATTTACTCCTTCAGCAGGTTTCCACATTACCCAGGAGGTACTGCTCATTTTTACCTATCTTACAATAATTATTTTTAGATTAATAAAGGCACAACCGCACAACAACAAAATAATAATGTACAGCACAGTAGGTAAATGAAACTGAACTATTTAACACTGAACTATAAAAAAACATGAATATTTTTATTTATATTTTTTGTGATTTTTACTGTGGTATTTGTGTGTTAATATAATAATAAATTAAAATAAAAATGATCTTTTATAATTATTTGAATTATTTTTACATGATTTCACAACACAATAATGTATTTTACGCTTGCATTTTTATCACAACCATTTTAACGCTAAGACAAAGACTAAACAGAAATAAGAAACTATAAACACGCACAGATTTAATTAATAAGCTTTGTTTACTAAAACATTCCACGCCCGCCCAGTCTTTTACAACGGCTGATAAGCGAGCCGCACAGATCTCGTGACTGACTTTGCTTTCTTTCATATACTGTGGTACAAGCCCAACTTTGTGGGCCTCAATGTCTACAAAAATTTATATATGAAGCGCAAATTTATGGGATTACTATTTTCCTATTATGCGGTCGGGCAATGATTTAAGCGTTTAGAATTAAAGTTGGAAAGGGTGCGCGCTAAAATTAAAGGAAATGTTTTAAACTTTAATGGTTTTTCTATGTTTTGATACTTTTAATGACTGGAAATTAGTTTTAAAACGTTTTATATTTAAATAAGTAATGTATCGAAAATTTCAAATTATATTATAATTTTAACATGTGAGGCCCGGCCTCAGTTGCTTTATATGACGAGCCGCCACTGCTATCCTTATACCATATCCAAAGTACACTCTCATTTCGAACGCACTCTTGGAGTCGGCCAGTTGATTACACACAGGGTGTCATGTAGAGATGTAAAAAACGGTTGTGAAAAAAAAATGAAAAGAAACTTAAAAAAAAAAACGTTTTTTTTGTTTTTTTTTTCAAAATGAAATTTTGAGTAAAATGTATACCTATTAATAATAAAGTGAAATGTAGAATATATTTCATTTTTCATTATTGAAAGTTTTGACCAAGACTAAAAATCTGATTTCTTATTATTTGGTAGTTTCCAATAGCAATGTAAAACTTCTACACTAATACAAAAAATTAAAGGATAAAAAAATTTGTTTGCGATTTTTCGGATAGCTGTATCTTTGTTAAAAATGGTCGTATTGGAGCCGTAAAAAAGCAATTTGAAGCTTGAAGTTTATAGTTTTGAGATTTTTAGATGAAAAACGTGCAACGCTCAATCCTAACAAATACCGTAATAAAAAAAAATCGATTTTTTTTGCTTTCTTTTTTGGTCCACGGAATGTTGTGACTGAATAAATGTTCTACAAGAATTTGCTATTGTTTTTTGGAAAAAAAAAATTCCATACTCTAGATGAATTTAAAAAATCATGAAAAAAGTACTTTTGGTACCAAATCAAAACAAGCGCGGCCCTTATTGGTCAAATCGGTGGTTGTGGCGCGTGCATAGCGCGAGACTGTATTTATATTTACTAATTGTCATTTAGTGGCTAATTTTAGTCCATGGAAACATACAAAATTAGGAAAATGGGACTAATCTTGAAAAAAAACCTAAAATTTGAAAAAAACAATGAAAAAAAACCTGAAAAAAAACAAAAAAACGGACCGTTTTTTTTCAAGTCGCATCTCTAGTGTCAAGTAATAAATTGTCATCAGGGGGTGATAGTTCAAGCGAGTTTTTCCTCTAAAACTTTTGCATTTGCAAATGCACATGTGCTACTGTTTTAGAACAAAAATTAACGTAATTTGTTTGGCACCAACCTTAAACCATGACCTGAAACGTGTAAGCGGTTGGAGTCGACGGACTAAGTAGAGTCGGCCAGTTGTTTAACTGTGATTCTTATCGGTACTGCTGTCTATTATTTTAACTGGCCGTCTATTCCTCATTCGCCTACAGTTATTGCTGGCGCAACAAAACCAGTGTCTGCCCATAAAATGCTTAATATTCTTTCATTATTCAAAAACAGAAGCACTAATGCAAAAGTGATAGTGGAAAATCTTGCTTACTTTGGCGTGACAGCCTGTATATTAGGTTGGAGCGAAATATGAATATTTTTAAAATTGAAAACGCATGTATATAGAAAAGTTGTGTATGATAAAAATAAATATTGGTGAAAAAAAATATTTTTTTATTTGTCTGTGGATTTAGGAATTTCCCCTAAATAAGGATATGATTATTATTATTATTATTAAAATATAATTATTATATATAATTTATATTATATTATTATAATAGTAAAGAAGGTAGATCGCAATTTGTAAAGTTTTTCTTCTTTTATATGTATA